CTTTCCTCTGAAAACTCACCTCTGCTGCATTCTCCTCTGCCTGCCCACGTCTTCTTTCATTGCTACCAACACACCAATGGAGAAATGACATCTGACTGCTTCCTCCATACAATAACCCTGCATCTCTGACAGCAGCCTTCACTGCTGCCTCACCAGCAGCCACATGCATCTCCTCACTTGGCAGTGGCTGATCAGCTGCAGGACTCAGGGATTGGGCACCCAAGCTCACCTCTCCCAGGGAGAAACAGCAAACCCACAGCCCATGGCACCCCCCAACTGGCAGAGGCACTTGCACCCTGCAAATAACATTTAAAATCTGATACTGTGGTGGAATATGTACATATATTCTATTACTTCGTATCTTGATCTGTGTTGAAGCTGCATTTTTGGTTATCAGCTCCACTCGCAGCAGTCTGAATCCCAGGCTACATCCATTCCCCTGCGAACGTAAAGAACCATCTGGAGAGAATAATAAAACAATTAACTCTCCATTAAGAATAATCTATGTATGTTTTTAAGGAGGCAAACTATAATGACCTCCACCTCATTATTCAGCTTGCATTCTGGCAGGCTGGCTGGGATTTTGCCTGGCCGTTTTTCAGCAGTCTGAGGGTAGCAATCTGAACTGAAGCTGATGGGAGGACCCCCCCAGGCCCTTAACCCAGGGCATGACCACTGGGCTGAGCGGGACCTCCTGCATCCCTCCCATGGCCTCATCATCTCCAAAGGTCCAGATGGCTGTGCACTGCCAACACCACCCACTGCAGCAGTGCCATGTGCATGGCAGCTGGGTGGCAAAGCACATCAGGTGCGCTCTGGGCACGAAGCGCAGAGGAGCACACGCAGGAGACGCACGCACTGAGCTGTCTGCTGAGCACCAGGCTCATTTAACTTGTTGCTGACAGCAGCACAAACCATCAGCGACTCCATAAAACTCAGCGTCAGTCCCCTCTGATTTTGCTAACTCACCAACCAAATGTGAGAGTATTATCCCCCCTGAACGGTTTTGCAAAGTGAAAGGGTTCCAGGTGAGGGCTGTTGCTGTGCCTGCTGCACATGTGTCCCCAGGACTGCACACTGATGGGACATCACACCTTTGTCAGCAGCCCTGGCCCCAAGCACCCGCTTCAGTCTCCCAGTGGGTAACTCATGAGCCGTCCTGCAGCTCTCACACTGCTCTCAGTCTCCAGCAACAGAGATGGAGCAAGTAGAACTAAAATTAGCTAGGACGTGAAAGCCCCATTTCAACCACTCAGATCGCTCCTCCAGAGCTGGGCTTTCCAGTCCTGGAACCTGCTCAGAAAGAGCTGGCAAAAAGCAAGACAGTGCCCGGGCTGTGCCACACAGCACAGGCAGGTCTATTCTCTTCCCACGCAGGCTGATAAGTTGCTCTATGATCTAAAAAAGTCATGAAAATCTGGCACAAATGAACAAACCAGTCACACCTGAATCCTGCTGGAAAAATCCCGGCCTCAGCTTTGAAATGTTGCAGAACATTTCAATTCACAGCTTCTGCATAGAGGGGGCAGGTTTTCAGTGTGCGAGCTGAAGGCATTTTAGCCTCAGACTGCCAGCCTGCAGCTGCAGCAGCCCACCCTTCTCTGCTAAACCAACAACACACACACACACACGTAAATCCCTCAAAGCAGGCTCTTGCACCTGCACAGCACCCTGAAGCAGGACCTGCACCGGTACCGGGAAAGGCTTAGTGAGGGTGTTAACGTCACACCAAGAGCAGCCACATGCGGACATAAATTATTCATACACATTACTCTAATTATGCAAATGCACTAAAAGCAGGAGCATATGCTTCCCTGACGTCTTCCAGGATGGATGCAATATGGTTCCTGTAGGGGAGAAGAGGAGTGGGACGATGGGTGCTGGCAGCAGGCACTGTCCCTGTGAAGGATGGCATAGGACTGCCCTCCCCGAGCAGAGCTGCTGCGAGGCTATGGACATCCAAGCACTCCTCCTTGATAATAAACTGTTGGCTGTGCACTCGGCGGAGTGGTGAGGCTGCGGAACGGCCCAGGCAGATTAAAATAAACCCAAGTTTGGAACAGGAATGTGTTTATCTGGCATCGCACACTTCCTCTTATCAGCTCCGAGGAGCAGAGGAGGACACAGCAGCAGTGCGCAGGGGCAGCCTGGGGGGGAAGGGGAGGAACAGCAAGGGTGAGGTGGGTACTGCAGGAGCATCATAACCCCAGGCAGTGTCTGCTGCAGGCAGGTGGGCACCTGGCATGTGCACTGCTTCTCTGCCACCTGAGGCCAGGGGCACTCTGCTGCAGGGTTCTGAAGTCAGTCTGTGGGTTATGGTACAGGATGGAACATCAGGAGGCTGGTATCCCAACCTCTTGGCCTTGAACCTCATGAGCGTGAAGACTGCATTGCTGACTGGGAAGCCCAGCAGCTGTTGTGGACATGGTCTCAATGTGCAGCACGGTGCAGCGAGGCTCCCATTCTGCAGCACAGTTGGCTGGAAGCACCACAAACACCCTCGAAACTTTCCATCCCTCCTGAACGACCAGCTATGCGTTTCCATATGCAGGCAAAACAAAAGCGAGCAAAACAAACATGATGCAATCCCACAGCTCATTGGGTGATCTAGGCCATGTTATTGTTAGGTCAGTAGTTACCCAAGATCAAAAAGCTGAACAGAAAACCTTGGCAGCTCCTTTGATAACAGCACGTCTGACCATCTTGTGCAAAAGTGCTGGAACAAAGGAGTTCAATGCGGGCTGCTGGGAAATACCCTGAACACATTTGTTGTCCTCTGAAGTGACAAAGCGTGCACTGGGGCCATGGAGAGAGATTTTTACGGTAGTATTCTTTACTGCAGGATAAAACAATGCAAGGAATTTCATCCTAGGATATGATTTTAGAGTTAAAATAAGAGCCATCCTTGGGTGGGTGGCACTCCATTCGGCAGCATGGTGATCCTGGCGGGGGGCTGCAGGAGGGGTACAGCCACACATCCTGTGGGCACAGGGGCACAAGGGCTCCGTTTCCACCATGCAAAAGAGGGCTTTTTATTGATTAATGTCTCAATGCAGGTTATAAGGCCACTTTATGACATTAAACACTTCTCGTACTGCAGCCCGGATGCACCTGCCTGCAACTGGCAGGTAGGAGGACGTGCAGGGCTGAATTCCTCAGGATGAAGCACTCTCTGTAATTTCACATTAGCACTTGCAAGTAATGCGGTCTTTGAGAGAAGTGTACTTCACTTGATATTCCATTTATGAATCAAACCTGAACCTCGCAGCCCCAGACCCCCAGGGAGACCCACAGAAAGCCTCCGCTACTCTTAGCTGGTGTTTTAACAGCTGCACGTTGGAATTTTCAATAGCTCATCTCTTGACTTCAGGTGGTTTTAACATTCCACAGACAATAATTGTGCACGACTCCTCGCTTCACAGGATGGTTCCAAAACAGATTTTAAAAAAGAAAAAAAACACCAAAAAACCCTTCAGTCCTTCTGTATTCAGTTTCATCCTGTATCAATCCATTACAGCGACGTACTGTTCTACAGAAGAGTTAAGCAGAAAAAGTGGGAAGCTCTCTTACCTGTAATTGACTGACTGGCCAATAGGAGTCAAGTGCTGGCAAATTGGAGGTGTAATTTCTATTTAATTACAGCATTAAAAAAATTACATGATATACCTATTTAGCATGCAAAGAAGCAAAATCAAAGCTAATAAGAATAAATTGTAAGAGAGAGGACATGTACCAAATGTAGTGGCAGTCTATTATTATTTTTTTTTTTTTTTGAGTTGTGCTTTGCTATAGATTACAGAGCCCATTGTGCCTTTGCCTGGAAAACCTGCATCCTCAGCTCTGACTCCACACCTTGCCAACACGCAAAACTGCATTGCAGAAATGCAGAGATACCATCAACATATGTGGCTGACCCCAAGGGGTGTGCATGCTCTCCATGCAGCACATGGAGTGTCTATCAGCCCCGGGGAAGAGAACGCCAGAGAAACCCAGACAGACCTCTCTGAAGCTCAAATGTGATACAAGCAAATGGGCAGACTATGAACAGCTTTGCAGGCCTTCAATTCAACTCATTTTAAAGTGCATTTAAAAGAAACCAGTGCAACTTCTGAGTTTAGGCAGTGGATGATGACCAGGAGCATGGAAGGTGAACAACTTTGTTGAAACCAGTATAGCTACTGGTACAAGGCAGCAAGAGGCCCATATGCCATTGGCTTCTAAGGACCTGCCATGAGAAAACCCAAGTGCGCCCCATGCTTGTTTCTGGGGTAACACATCCATCATGCTCAAGAAGCCTATTTTCTTTAGATTAATGCCATGACTCTAAGCTCAAATCACTGCATTTCATCACAGCTCGGCTGGCAAACAGTGCTGGGAAGGGGAACCGTGCAGGTCCTAGAGACCCTTTGATCCACAAGGTTCACAGAGCACAGTGAAGCTTCCCTTAAGTGCCCCTCCCATAGTTGCCCACCGCAGCCCAGGACCACCACCGTGCCCAATTTGGGGCGTTACATGGCAGCAGTGCTAACAGGGATTTGCATTGAGGCTCTGGGAGAACAGGAGCCAATCAAGAATTGCAGTTTTACCTGCAATCTCTCTTTAAAAACACATCATTTCCAATGTTAGTCAAATTACCCTTTGGACATTTCCTGCTTGGTCAACAGAAGTTTGAAATTAAAGCACAAATTAAACCACCTTCAGTGCTGGAGGAACGGTTGGATTTGAGATGCGTTCAGCATGCCATGCAGAAACACGGGGACGTGCTCAGGCAGCAGTGACATGTGGCCCTGGAGAAGCAGACAGATGTGAGCCACATCCACTCCCACATGCCTGCTAAGTGCATGGCACAGAGCAGCAAGCAGCAGCACAGCCAGCTGTGCCCCGGCACGTGGAGCCAGCTGGGAGCGTGACACACCATGAGTGCTCACAGGGGTGATTTCTGCAATGGGGATGTTCACGGCCATGAGGAAGGCAGCACAGATAAAAGACAGACAGCTTACCCCTCTGAGCTGCTGGACGCCACCAAATATCCTCATCACGCCATCAATCTCCTGCTCCAGCCTTCTGGCCCAGTACTGCATACTGCAAGAGACAGAGAGAAAGAGAGGAGGAGAAAGGGAGAGAAAGAAAAAGAGTCAGAGCCCTGCCATGCAGCAGATCAGCCAGGTAACGAAGGGACAGCAAGGAAGCCAACATCTGGGGCTGTGCTCACTGCGCCGCTCCTGCAGCACCGGCACAGGCAGTACTGAGAGCACGTGGCTCCTGAGAGCGAGGGCTGGGGGAAGATGCAAGCTCAGGGCTCCAAAACAATTTACACACAAGGCAACGCAGAGAGAAAAAGGAAGAAGAGTTACAAGAGAAACTGCAACTTTCTTTTTCCCCCTTCTTATATCAGCAGTTGTGGTAGCTAATTAGTTAAGCCTAGAGCGATGATCAAGGTCAAAGTGCTGCAGAGCCCAGCAGTTGGTAGAGAAAACAGCCTGCGCTCCACCATGGCCCCAGGAGCAGCGGTGCCCATCCCAACACAGCCACAGGTTGCTGCCTCCACGCGATGGAGCTGCGGGCAGGGCTGGGAGGTGAGCTGCAGCACCGCAACCCTGGGGCAGCAGCGCCCGCCGACACGAACGCCGCACAGATTTCTGCTCATAGCGATGACTGCCAGTTAAAACAACAGCAAACAAAGCTCTCCTAAGGCCACAGAACTTGGTAGCTCGCCTTCTTTTAATGAGGTTTTCAGACTCCGGTCTCTGGCCATGCAAATGTCAAACCTCCCATCTGGTCTGGGAGAGCAGTGTTGGATTGCTTCTGAACCACTTGTGCTTCTCCTGCAGCAACTCAGCTCCAAACACTACACTGGACAAAGCACCGAAGGAGTAAAAGGGACAGAAGGCACTGTGGCCAAGTCTGGTGCATGGCCAGCATCACAGCAAGGCAATACCACGGGCACAGAGAGGCCCAGGATGTTCACACTTTGCATCAGCAGCCCGAAAGCATTTGTTCTTCAGGCAAAGAGACGTCCCCAGGCAGTGCATGTACACCACTGCAAAGCCACTGTGAGGCTCTCCAAGAGGTCTAGAAGCAGAGAAGCCCTGCTAAGGGAGGCCATGGAGGACTGCTCATTACACAGCATTGCTTCAAAATGGAGGAAGCTGGGCAGAAATATAAAAAAATTTAACTGTGTACTCCAGATCTTCAGAGTTTTCCAGCAGAACGTTCTCTATTCCCAACATTTCTGCAGAGCAAAGGCTGTTTTTCCCCTTGGAGGAGAAGGAAATCCAGGGAAGAAGGTGGTATACATTTACCATCATTTAGGTTTCATTTAGGTTGGTCAATGCTACTCATGAATTTACTGATGTATTTTCCCAAAAGGTATTTATTTAATTTTCAAATAAGCCTCTCATTTTAAGATACTCATTGAAACACCTCCAAGCAACTTTATTGTTTTCTTCCCCAGTGACCTGCAAACAGTCACAAACACACACAGCCACTGATGTGGGCAGCCCTCCCTTTGCCCCCCAGCTTGGGCAGAGCCCTCCCACCAGTGACAGAGCTGTCAGCCCCCTGCAGGAGCTATACGACAGCTTTCCCAATGGCAGCAAGCATCCTTTTTCCCAGCTAGCGCATCCCTTACCCACGCTGCAGCACTGGCAAAAGCTTTTGTGTGCATCTGGCCCATCCCTCTAGCCCGACTCGTTGGTGTTTTCACCTCGCTTTCTGCACACTGGGCTGAAAACTGCCAAGGCAAAAAGAATAAAAAATACATAAACCCCATTATTATTCTGTCTCACTTGACCTCCTGCCTTTTGTTTCTCTCCCATGGCCGATGCACTTAAAATTTTATGGCAGACGACTGCAGCAAGGATGAAGAGGGTAAAGCAATTGATAGCCCATTACCAACATGGAGATTTCACTTTGATGTGTGTCTCGTATGGAAGCAATAAGGCACGGCAGTCATTGTATCCCCGTGCTATTAAGGCACACCTCAGGTGGTGTCACAGGGCTCGAGGAGTGATAACTCCTCCCAACACGCAGCCTGGAGTCCCCCACTGCTCCTGCGAAATGGCATTTACAAACAAAGAACAGAGAAAGCACCTGATGCACACGCCAGGAAGCCTCCAGCCCGGATGACCACTGCTCACGGAAAGCCACAAAGTCCTCTTGGATAGACACCAAAATCCCTTACATTAAAAATATTCGTGAGTCGTGTGCTCTGCCTCCCCTTACACCAAGGATCGTGGTCAGGATATACATTAAAATCTCTTCCACTGGAAAAAAAAAATTGTTTCCTTCCCCTGTATGTTCCACAACCTTCTCTGCAACACATAACAAGGGACAGAAATGATTTCTGGAAACACAACACCATCTATCTCTGTCTCTCCAAAGAAAACTACAAAGATGCTAATTGATTTCATGATTTGCCTATTTGATTTTCCTTAAAGATGAGATAAAATGGGCTTAAAAAGAGCAGCATAGCTTCAAAAATATTTGCTGTGCCAAGCAGCACATCAGGAGATATATACACAGGCCAGGACACCAAGCATTTTGCATGTCCTATTCTGCACACTGGGCACTTGCAGCTTGTCATCAGCCACAGAAACTGGGGCTCTGGGCTCCATTCTGCCCTGGGTGAACTCACCAGCCAGCTGCAGAGACTTCCATGCATGCTGTGGCAAGGCTGGGTATGTGAGGCCATACCACTGCTTCGTCAATAAACCAAAGAATGGCTTGGATTGGAAGGTAACATGAAGATCATCTGGTTTGAAACCCCTGCCATGGCCTGGCTGCCCCCCACTTCGGGCTGCCCAGGGCCCCTCCATGGCCTGGAGAACCTCCAGGGATGGCACCCACGGCTCTGGGCAACACTGCCAGTGCCTCTGAGAAAAGAATCTCACCTATCATCTCACCTATATTTTTACTTTTTTAGTTTAGAATTATTATCCCATGTCCTGTCACTACCAGACCATGTAAAAAGTTATTCCTCCTCCTGCTTATAAGCTCCTCCAAGCACTGGAAGGCTGCAATGAGGTCTTCCCAGAGCCTTCTCTTCTGCATGCTGACCACCCCCAGCTTCTTCAGCCTGTCTCCATAGGAAAGGTGCTGCAGCACGCTGAGCATCTTCATGGCCTCCTCTGGACCTGTTCCAAAGCCCCATGTCTCTCTTGTGCTGGGGGCCCCAAGTCTGGACAGCACTACAGGTAGGGCCTCACAAGAGCAGAGCAGAGGGGGACAATCACCTCCCTGCCCACTGCTTCCTCCTCTGTTATTGCAGCCCAGGATGCTGTTGGCCTTCCAGGCTGCAGGAGCACACTGCTGGCCAATGCGGAGCTTTTTGTCCATCAGGACCCCCTGGTCATTACCACAGGTCCGCTCTCAAGGAGCTCTTCTCTCAGTCTGTACTCAGGTCTGGGATTGCTCTGATTCAAGTGCAATACCTTGTTCTTGACCTTCTTGAACCTCATTAGGCTCACGTGAGTCCACGCAGGATGGCATCCCTTCCTTCTACCATGTCAACTGCACCACTCATCTTGGTGTCATCAGCAAACTTGCTGAGGGAGCATTCAATCCAACTGTGTCATTGATAAAGACACTGAAGAACACCAGTCCTGAGTCAACCCCCTGGAGGACACCACTCATCACCAGCCTCCACCTAGACATTGAGCCACTGACCACAACCCTCTGGCTGTGACCATCACACCAACTCTTCATCCACCAAACAATACAGCCTTCAAATCCATCTCCAATTTAGTGATCATTATGTGGTGTGGGACTGTGTCAAAGTTCTTGCAGAACTCCAGGCAGATGACATCAGTTGCCCTTCCTTTATCCACTTTGTCACTCCATCACAGAAGGCCATCAGATTGTTCAGGTGCGCTCTGTCCTTGACGAAGCTGTGCTGGCTGTCTTGGGTCACCTCCTCATCTCACACGTGCCTTCACATCTCTTCCAGGAGGCTGCACCACTGCTCTGACAACGCCTGGTTTGTGAGGCTGCAACAGCGCTCCAGGGACTTTAGAAGAAAATGAGAACTGCCGTGGAAGGCAGCAGACAGGCTGTCCCTGGCCCACACTCCGCACACAGCAGATGGCCATCTGCAGCCCCGTACTTCTGCACAGCAGCTCCAGCACTCTGCAGAGAAGCTGCACACCCTCAGCAGCACCCAGCACCACCCCGGGGTCACTGTGCTCCTCGGGGGCTTACGGCACATGGACAGAGCCCTTCCGAGCCACAGACAGGATGCTGAGAACCTCAGAGACCTCGTCCTTTTGCTGCCTTCCTGGCCCAAAGAAGAAGGGAGACTCACATAAATGTGAAAAGACAAGAGGAAAAACTAGCTGCTAAGCAGACACGCTGCCCCACAGCTTATTCAGTTATCCAGAAAGCATTCTGCACAAGAGTCTACACTTCACCCACCCAGCGTGTGCAGCCAAGAATGCCTCACTCTGATTCATATGCTTTGGTTCAGTGCCCAAATATTGCTATTTAATAAGGTTATTAATTACTGTGTTGTCTAATTTTTGCTGTGCAGGAACTTCTCATAACTGGCTTATTCCTTCAAGATGCTTAATCCTTTACCTATAATACCGCACGTGTCAGCGCACACGCGTGCATGCGTGCACTTGTGCCCCTTCTCAGTTCCCTCCATTTTGTACATATCTGGGCTGTAAGACCCAATATGAGCTAACACACACCAAGGAAAAACAAAGATGCTTTGGTTTTCGTTGTTTATGACTTCTCTTATTTTAAGATACAGCTTTCAGAGAATATCCTTTCCTACAAAACAACCAAATAAATGCCTGACCATGTTTGATACTAGCTTAGAAGGAAAGGACAACCGAGTATTAAAGCTATATCCAAAGCCAGGTCTTTAAGACACACATCGGGATAGAACTCTACCTTCAGCTGAATCACAGAGCTTTGTTACTTTGTTTTCTTTGACTCAAACACTTCCGCACCTTCTTCCTTGCACTATCCACTGTCTTCCCAATTCTTACAGCAGGAAATGTTCCTTAAAATAATAAAAAACGCTGGACCGCCTATAAGATCCATCCTGATGCCAGTTTGATGCCCAAACAACTACTACA